CGCAAGAACAAAACACACAACAGAACAGCTCAAAGATGTCCCAAAGCAAGAAAGAGGCTGACAAGAAGAACCTGGACGATTTGTACAGCGCTACTCGAACGAGCCTGGTTGCTATTGAAGATAATACTTGCTACAAACTCAAACCCATGTAAGTGTTAAAGTGTTTTCAAGCTTAGCTTGTTGATGCCAATTTTGTTTTCTCTTTTAAGTTCTTTTTCTGGCCACTACCTGGGCTTCAGTCTCCAGGTTGGCTGGCGCCAAGAGGTGCTGCTCAAGTTAAAGGACCGCACCAGCTTGAAATTTGAGCTGTTTGACTACGTGCTTCTCGAAACTTCAGAAGGAGTTGCCAGCATGTCTCGACAGCTAGTAAACAGCTTCTCATTGTCTTCGAGAAATCTGCTGGACGTAAAACGCAAGTCGCCCGTTTGTGTTCAGTTTAAGTTGAAACCAAGCACTGCTTCTTCTCTTCACAGTCAACTTGGCATTCACTTCCAAGAGGATTTTGGCTCAAAACTGATCTGCACTTTTTCCGAGAAAATTTTGACGGCTTTTTTGGAGGAACTTGAGATAAGTCGGTTTAGTCGGAAGATCAAATACGGTTTTCTTGGACTGCGCAGCAAGTGGGTGCCCTACTAGTGAATGTAAAAAAACTGGCTCAAAATATCAATTTCAACTTATTTTTTTAACATTTTACATTTACTTCAATTGACATTAATGCTTGTTAGGTTTTAGAACCTCTGTGATTTTAGAACTTGCAAGCATTGTTCTCCCACTCTATTTAGAGTGGCGTATCTCACTGTAGTGAGTTAGTTATTCACTACTTTTAGTTGAATAAAGTTATCTATCAGCTCACGCTCTCCCAGCCCTTTTAACAATGCTTAATGCTTATATCATGCTTATATTTAATAAAAATATTGCTATGTAGTGCTCCCGCACTTAGTCACCACAGTGAACTCTCCTTGACTTATGTTTCACTCATACTCACACTCATGTTCACCTCTCACTTACCTTAACTCACCTACTCACACAGACATCTCATGTATATAAGCCCATCACATGTAAGCACACTTTACCAAGTCTCAACCAATCCTCACTTGGTCACCATGCCTGCCTGTCTGTCTGCCAGTCTTTTTTCCCATCTCATCACCAGTCTTTATTCCCCATTAAACCAGCTTCAACATCGGCACCACAGCTAAAACTTAAAAATACAATATTCAATTTAAAGTGTGTTTTTCAAACTTAATTTTTATTTTAGTTAGGGTGCTCATGTAAAGCAAAAACTTTTATTATTTGACAATAATGTTTGCAAAAAAATCTGAGTATTAATGAAATGTTAAAGTATTTACAAGTTTTTTGGTAAAAAACAAAATATTAATTGCAGTGGTAAATGAGTATTGTAGTTAGCTTTAAATTAAACGCTGTTAAGTTGCACAAAACATATTTGACAAAAATAACTGAAAATCAAAATGAAGAAACACAGTATTATTATGTCACAGTAAAAGAAATCCGTGTTGTGTATGCGTTGGGTTTCAAATTGTATGAGACAAAAAATGTGCAAAAACTGGATGAAATTGTTTGTGATGAGAAAAAAAGATGATTAAAAAGGGCTCAATTGTATGAGCTTTAAGTGTGCTATTTGTTGAGTTTGTAATGCTACGCTGCTTCAATGCTATTATTTGCTGATGATGATGATGCTGATGCCGCCGTTGGCAAAGTGGACAGTGGATCTGTGGATGGCGAGGAGGATAGAAGGACTGACTGATGAGAGGATGATTCGGTGGGCGAGTGAGAGTGCAAATTATGACTAATCTTTGATCCAGACAAGAGTGGAGTGACGCCTCCCAGTGAGGTCGAGGATGAGTGGGAGGATGTGGTGCTCGAGGGTGAGAGAAAACATTCGTGTGGCTGGTGCTGTGGCTGATGATGATGCTGTTGTTGGTGGTGGTGCTGGTGCTGGTGCTGGTGGACATGCTGGTTGGGATGCAGTTGCTGATACTGCTGCTGTTGTTGGCAATGATGAGAAGAGGAATGTTGAGGAGAGGTGGATGCCAAAAACGACGACGGTGCCGCCAGTGCCGCTCCAATCAATGGCTGCTGCTGCTGCTGCTGACCGGAAATGCCTAGCTGTTGATGGTGGTGACTGGCTGAGGGCGATTGTGACTGGGAAGTGCCATAGTTGGCATTGCTGTACTGCGGCTCCAGTTGCGGTGAGCTGTGGTGGTACTGCAACAGAGGAACTTCCACTTTCGCACTATTACCGCCGTAAAGTGCATCAGCACTGTGGTGTTCCCAGTGGTGCACTGTTTGTGCGGCACTTCCTGTGCTGTTTCCACTGCCGTTCCCCGTTCCTTCGTCGATGATGGTCGTTCCGGAAGTGCTGCTGCTGCTTGAGGAGGACTCCGAAGCAGGCGGTGTGTCTGCCAGTGACAGTGGCTGGGGTTGTGAAAAGTTGTGCGCTGATAGTGTGCTGTTGGCAATGTTTGAAGAAGAGGAAGTACTGGCACTGGTACTGTGAACAGCTTGGTAGTGCTGAACCGCATCGCCGATGGAGGCGCTCAAATTGGCGGCAAGCGAAATGTTGAGGTCAGTGCCTGAAGTTGGTGCTTGAACTTTTCTACTTGATTTGCAAGGAGTGCTTGTGTTCTTCTTGTGCAGGGCACTGCCACTGTTTTTGTGTGAATGCGACTTGCGTTTTTCCATTTTTTCTTTTTCTCGACACTGCATCTTCCTATCATCATCATCATCATTGGTTAGAGAAAGTGCAGTCTTTTCAAAGGTTGATGGTGCTACAAATGATGAGTAGCCAGTTGGCGGTGGTGGCCAAAAGGTAGCTACTGTCGCACTACCAAAATGATCATTCAGTGCCTGGTGGTGGTGGTGATGCTGTTGTGGTCGATAGGCAGAGTCCAATGCCGATGATGTCACCTGAGCTGCCACTTGTGCACAGTCAGTGACGCCGAGCGACGCCTTCAAGTACGGATAACTTAAGTCAGTAGCATTCTGCTGATAGGCAGCAAATCGGTGGTGGGGGTGATGGAGGTGGTGATAGTTATTGACGTCAGCAAAACTGGGAAACGGGTGGTATACACTGCCGATGCCTTCTTTGCTGCCGTCTGAATTCAGTGTATCACTCAAACCTGATGTCAGTTGGCTGCTGCTGCTGCTGTTGCTACTGGCAGTGGCTTCGGCAGTGTTCAGCGCTGCGCCCTGCGAGTAGTAGGACTCCATCAGCCCGGGAATGTACCGTTGTTCGTAGCTTTCCAGAGAAGTCGTGGCCACTGGTGCTCCAGAGCCGGTTGAACTGCGGCCTCCTCCGCCACTGCCGTTGTGCCCATAGTACTGGTGGTATTGCTGCTGCTGATGCTGCGGGAGGTTAGTAGCATTGGAAGTGCCAGAAGCCAACGCCGCCAATCTACTTGTGGTAGAATGGTAATGACTTAGCAGGTTCTCTGCGCTCAAAAAAGAATTGGCTCGTACCGGCGTGGAGGAAGTGGTGGTCGCGGCGGTTGCGGCGGCGGCGGCGGCGGCGGCGGCTGCAGCCGCAGCGGCAGTGGCACTGGCAAAGGAGGCGTTGTGGTTGCCGCCGCCACTGCCGGCGCTGTTGCTGCCCGCTGATCCTGATCGACTGCCATTGCTGGTGAGGAGGCCATTGCTGCCGAAGGCTGCCAACGCTGATGATGACGTTGATCCGCCGGAGTTCACCGGAGAGGAGGTAGTGGCAGCAGAAGCAGAAGCAGCTGCCGCCTGCTCATCGATGCTCAGATCACCTCCGATGGTGTTGTACTGCTGATGCTGCTGCTGCTGGTGATAGGGATGACTGCCGTACATTGGGTGCTGGTGGTGGTGAGAGTGGTGAGGGTGATGGGGGTGGTGGTAGGCCATCGGATGGGGGTATGCACTGCCGCCTGCATGTGGTCCACCACCACCACCACCACCACCGCTGTGGCCGAACATCGACGACTGTACGTGGTGGTCAAGGTGATGCAGCTGCTGTACAGCGGCGGCGGCTGCTGCGGCTGCCGCCACTGCAGCTGCAGAAGAAGAAGAAGCGGACGTCGTCGTCGTCGATGATGTTGCGTCTTCAGCGGCAGCGGCTGAAGTTAGTAGTGCCGAGCCATTGCTGACGCCGCTACTCATCAGATGATAGGAAGTGGCGGAAGGTGTCACCGGTGGCCACTGGTACGCACTGCCTCCCTGGTGGTGCTGCTGTTGCTGCTGCTGGTGGTGATACTGATGATGAGGGTGATGGAGGTCCTCAGGAGGACTGCTGCTGGCGGTTGATCGCAGTGAACTACTACCACCACCACCGCCACCGCCTGCACTGGCGGCAAAGGGGTGATGTGCTCCGAAGGGGTGATGATGACTGAAGGGGTAGTGGCTAGCGTGGTGAACACCGCCACCACTACCTCCGCTGCCGTGCTGCAGACTAGTAAAGGACTCGACGGCGGCGGCGGCGGCCACGGCCGAGCCGAATGGGTGATGATGATGGTGGTCAGCACCAGCGACGAGACTGCCCACCATTAGCTGCTCACTAGAGTGCAGGGCACCGGAGTGGTACAGACTGTGACTGGGAATGGGCGTCGCCGACTCGATTGTCGGCGGATAAGCGGTGTGCGTCGTTTTTTGCTTTTTCACTACAGCAGCTGTTGTTGTTGCTGCTGCTGATCCCTCTTGTTTGTGATTGCTCAAGGTGGCTGCTGCAGTTGCTGCTGCTGCTGCTGAGGCGTTTTTGCCTTTGCCTGAGTTGCTGCTGCTGTTGTTGCTAACACCTTTCGCCGTCGATTTGCAGCTCTTTTTGGCTGAGTCTGCTTTGGCCGCTTTGCAGCTACCGCCGCCATTTCCACCGTTCCCACCGACTGCTGACTCAAGGTGACAGCCACTGGCGGAACTTTTATGGCTAGAACTTCCACTGCCATTGGCGGCAGAAGTACTCGTCGAGTGACTTCGAGTTGACCGAGAACCTCCTGAAGAGGAAGATTTGTCACCCTTTGACGCCTTGCTTGACTTTCCGCTGGACGACAGTTGATCAGTAGTGGATGTGCTGTTAGCGGCACTTCCGGCTGCTGTGTTTAACGCCGATGCGCCGCTACTTTCACTGCAATCTAGCAGAAAAGCGCTCAACGCCGAGCCTTCTGCGCTGTTAGACTTGTTGACGGTAATGGCGCCCAGGCCACCATCCAGGTAGGTCACTTTAAAGTCCATTGTTCGTTTGGTCAGCAAATCACGACCTTCCTCTTCCCTGTCATTTAAAAGACGAAAAAAGTTGGCATCATTGTTTCAAACCCTTAATCATCACAATAACTAACATTAAAGGTCGATGTGTGCAGAGAATAAAATCCGGCTTGCTGTTCTTGTACACCAGCCGAGCACTGGTTTGCAGCCACTGAAACTTGACGTAGTTCTTGTGCACTACCCGGTAAGCAATCAGTCCAGAGGCGCCCGTTTTAAGCACTGTTTAAGTGAAGGGGGTTGTATTAGTTTTTTTTCAATTTGAGTTGAAGCATTTTTTAATATTTAAACAACAGCCAACATTTTATAGCACTTACACTCCTGGTGAGCACTGGCGACGTAGAAGAGGTCATCGTGGTGGATCAGCTCATAGCCGCCTCGATTGCTCAGCTCTGCCTCGCTGTAGCCGAGCAGCGTCCGTCCTCTGGGCTCCATTGAGACGAGTGAGAAGTCCAGCTTGTGCTTTGACTTGAAGAGCGCCTTTTCATTGGCGGGCATCTCCAGCAGCGACGGCGGACCGAATGGCGTGCAGACGGCAAACAGCGCCATTGGCGGCTCCTCTGTTTTGTGATTTTGCCCATAGAGTACCTTGATGCGACCACGTACGTCCAGACGCTAAAGTTGGCATTATAGCAAATTTTTAAAACCAAAAACTTTAAAATTTGAAACGGCATTAAAAAATAAAAACACTACTGACCAGAAATCCTGACGTGTTGTCAAGTAGACACCGAAAGCGTACGGTAAAGTTGCGTTCTAGTAGATGGGCGTTTTCTACAGTTAGAAAAAAGTAAATTTTTTTTGATAAATGTTAGCTGATCAAGTTCATGGGCAACAACATTTCCTACCGTATTGCAGTATTTCCTCCAGTTTAATGTTTGATCGATCACTTGGCAGGTGCGAGTTCCACATGAGATGTCTTTGCAGCTCCTCGCGGTCTTCCGAGTGCACCAACTCGTAGACGCTTTGATGGCAAATGTCAGACTAGAAAAAAAATTAAAAGCAAAAATCATAAAAATGTGAATAAAACAGAATTAACTGACAATATTTTAATTTAAACAAATTTGGTTTGTTCTAGCAAGAGGAGCATTTATACTGTTTTATTTTCAATATTTGCGCCTTAAACTATTAATATTCATTGTGTAATTATTAATAGTAATGAACTTTTACATGCATCCGATTAACTAAGTTTTCCCTGTTTTTCAATGCTGCAGCTCATCGCTGTTATTACCACCTAATAATAAACTGTCTTAAATTTTTAACTTTTTCCAACCTATCTTTTCCTTATTTTTGTGCTTAATGCTGGTTCTGCTTGGGCTGCTTGTTTTTATGTCCATCTCCCTCTTTTTTCTCTTTTTGTTTCTTTTTACCTTTTGTTGTAATAAGGCAATTAGCTAATGTAATGAATAATTAAGAGCAATCAGCAGATGAGAAAGTGAGGGGCACTGTGAAAGGGAGAGTGGTGGTGGGAGACACAAAGGGAAAAGTCACTTGGCGTGCCTGCACGTTCAAATAAGCTGCTTTAGCTGCTGCTGCTGCTTTATTTCAACCAGCTGACAAAAAGCAGATGCTTGCAATTTTCCCCGCAACTGGTCAACTGGCAACGAACAGACAGTGGCCAGACAGGCCAGTGAGGATGCTGGTTGTGCTGAGAAAGTTGTGCACACTGTTTTGCTAGTTGTGAGAATTTTCTACTTTTGAAACAATTTGTCAAATGTCGTTTTTAGTCTGTTTTACAAGACAGTTTCTTTATATCAAGTTTAAATTAAACGCAAAAAATAAACAAATTGGCAAAAGAAAGGTAATTTAAAAAGAGAAACAACTCAAACAATTTAAAAAGTAAAAAAGAGTAGAAATAAGACAAACAGATGTCCGAACTGCAACGGTAGCTTTAGCGTAAGCCTCATCGTCTAATGAATAACTAATCAGCTGAGTAGTGGGCAAAGAGCACAGCAGCACAAAAAAGGGAAAAAGGCAGACACGTGTGGCAGACACGTGCCGCAGCAGCAAACTGGAACTTGCTGACTGGCCACTACTGACATTCACTACATTCACTGAACACTTTGGCAGTCCAATCTTTTTGGCTGCATTGTCTACTTACTCCACACCCTCTCTCATTAGTTCATTGCCCACATTACCGTTAATCCTTACGGTTTGCTAATTTGATAATTACACCCAACAGGGCCATGCTGCTGCTGCTGCTGCTGCTGCAAAGGTCAGACGACTGCCGCAGACCTTTTGAGCGCGGTCACTAAGGTCAGCCGGCAGTCGTTTTATTGCTCAAAGTTCACTGATTAGTTTTGCTTGATTGACTACTGCTGTTTTTCTTTCTAAATCTTTTTTTCTGTTTTTTCAGCCACCCCTTTCCACCACCATCCCTACCATTATCAAATCAATGCAAAGCTGGCTATAATTTAAAGATATTTTTTTGGCGAGTTGCTGGCAACGACAATTGAGCTACTGACTGTGGCTAGCGTAAACTCAAATGAACGCTAATTTCGGCACATTTATTACTACCGCTCACTCTGCTGTTGACAATTACAGCAAGTGCATCTACTGTTTACTTTGCTGCTGCTGCTGTGGTTGTCTTCACAACCTCTCACTACTACACCTACCTAATTAGCGAAAATTGCTTAATTCAATTAGACCTTTCAGAAGGGGTCCACTGAGGTAGGTAGGTAAGGTAAGTGCAGGAAAGCAGGCAGCAAATTGCCCCAACAGTTTTGGCTGTAATTATATTTTTGCTTGCTTGCATTTGTCTCTTCCTCCCTATTTCATTGTTATTTCGTTTATTGTCTGCTGTTCACAATGCTTTTGCAGCAACAACAGTTGCTCTCTCTCTCTCTCTCTCTCTCTCTCTTTTGCTGATGTTGTTGTCGTCAATTGATCATTAGCCACTTAATGAAGCATTAAGTGTCCTCACTGCTTTTTTATTTTCTACTCTTCACCTTACACACAATGTCCTCCACTCTATCACGTTTGTTTACATTAGGAACAACAGTAGCAACTTAAGTTCTACCAGCCAACTTTTTGCCCCCCCCCCTGACTGAAAAATGAAAAAAGGGTGCGCACGTATTTTTTCATTTCTTATTTATGATTTTTGTTTTAAAGGCTGTTTTTTCATTTTTAATGCGTTTAAAACTTTTAAGTATTTTATAAACTTGTAAATAATAATTTGTAAATAACAATGATATTTGAATAACTATGAAAAATATTGTCAATTGCTTCAAAACTAGTCAAGTTTAGTGTTTAAAAAAGTAATCTTACCTGATGAAAACCGAGATAGGTTTCGACGGTGTGCGACGTGTAGAAGACTTCACCCTCACAGGTGAGAATAAGCAAAAAGCCGTTCAGAGCCTGCAGAATGAGATCACCCTCGAGCAGTGACTCAATGACGGCGCTGATAGAGGCAATCTGCGCCGGTGTAGGCGAGTGGACGTGATGATCACCGCCGTTTGGTGGTGACCCACCTCCATCACCACTGCCATCATGAACGTGCAGGTGGTGGTGGTGGTGATGCAGGTGGTGATGGTGGTGGTGGTGAAAGAGGTGGTGGTGCACTGGGTGGTGATGCGCCACCGACGACGTTTCGTAGAAGTGTCCCATCTTGGCGTCGTAGCTTAGCTGCTGTCCAAAGCCACCACCACCGTTTCCGTTTCCGGTTCCGTTTGAGCCCACCGCCAGTGAGGCTGACTTGTGGCCGGACAGTGTGGCTAGGGCTCGTGAAGAGGAAGAATTCTCGCCGGCAGGGGAAGAGGAAACACCCTCGCCGAGGGAACTTCCGTTTGAGTGCGCTTGTTGTTGTTGTGCCTGTTGCAGCGCCAATTGGGACTCGCGGTCTTTTCGAAGAGCGGCTAAGTTTAAGGATAAAAAATGAAAACAAAGTAAGAACAAATTAGACAAGAGGTATTAGTTGATGAGGTCAACAAGGTGAAAGAAATAAAGAGAGTGGGAGAGTATGATAGCGCGCGGAAAGTAATCTAAAAAGGTCGATTTAAGGGCAAAGAGACACACTGCCCGTGACATCGATGATGATGAATTGATCATGTGCAACAACAGTGGTGGCGGTGGTAGGGTCATCATGTCTGCAGCAGCAAATTGGTCTGTCTGCCGTTTGATTCTCTTGTTTGTCGCTAGTTTTTTCTTTTTTCACCTTCTTTTTACCTACTTTGTTCCTTTTTGCTAACAAGCACGCGTATGCTCAGCATGAGCTCGTTGTTGCCGCCGTTCAAGAGCACTACCTGGCAAGTGAGAGTCAATGTCAACTAGTGACACAGTGCACACATACGCACAGTAGTCCCAGCTAGGCCTAATCAATCACAATCAATAGACAACTGCTGCTGTTGTTGCTGCTGCTGTTGCTGCAACCTCAGACTGCATGCAGACAGAAGCAAGTGCAGTTATTACTGCAGTTATTAATACCAAATAATCTGTCTGCTCTTTGCAAGAGATACCTAAAAAAATTAATACTTCAAAAAATTAAAAAATTTGATTGATTCAGATTAATTTGATCAATAAAAATCGACAGTGACCATTGAGACCACAAAGAATTAGTTAATTCAAGTTGAGCGATGTGGAAGAAACATCATTTTGGATAAACCATTTTTACGTCCAGTAATCCACCCCATTCTAATCCACTACTGCATCACTAATAAAACTACTGAGCAGCATAATTAAACTTTTTCAACAACAAAAAATGAGCGTTTGCAAAAAAACTAAAGTTTAAAAAATGAAAAGAATAATGCAACAAAAAAATGATCCGGTAGCATCAACAGCAGCAGCAGCTGAATTAGCGAACTAAATAAAAAACTGCGCAATTTGGATAGCAGCACTACCACCAGCAGGTCTCGTCGTCCTCGTCGTTGTCGGTGCTGTTGTCCATCTCACTGTCTTTATCTCTATCTGTCTTTCTCTCTCTCTCTTCCTCTCTCTCTCCTTTTCTCTCTCACCGTCAGTTCGTCCGCTGATATGACGGACAATGATGATCGATGGCTTGCTCGTGAGACGACAGCCGACACAAAGGGAAAGAGAGAGAGAGAGAGAGAGAACAACGACACTGCGCCAGCAAACAGCGACATTGAAACACACACACACACTCACCGACAACACACAGACAGTCAGCACAGACTGACTGACAGACAGTCAGGTAGAAACCCCTCGGTAATTCGGTCAATTGCAACAGCAGCAGGAGCAGCAGCCGTTTTGGTGTCTGTTGGAAAATAATTTTACAGTCATCATTGCCAACATCATCTCTGTCGGCATGTTGCCTTTTGGCGTCTGCAGTGCTGCAGAATAATCACACCGTAAAGTACACCACCACCACCGCCACTGATAGCCAGTGCAGTAGTTAGCCGCCAATTATCTCTCAACAGAATGGCCAATCATACCGTTCTAGTTGGTTGCAACTGATGCTTAAAAATTTAAAAATTCAGTTTTAAACAAAATTGTGCATGTTTTAAATTTTTTATTTTGATTTCATTTCAGTAAAACAGTTCACACTGGTTCACTTTATTTAATTGAGACATAAATATCTAAAAGCCATTTTTTAAATAATATCGTTACTGCCGTAGTGAAGTGACATTTATTGCAGGCCTATCCGCAGACTCCTGGCACACAGCAATGCCTATTCACAAGTCAGCAGCTTTATTTGTTTGGTTGTCAACTTTTTTTCTGCGGGGTCCACTCACAATGCTCATTCACCTTTTTTTCGGTGTTGTTTTTCAGAGCAATAATCAACGGTCAAATAGGTTTTTCTGTCGTATTAGTGGTGGTGGTGCCTTTACACTGCAAACGACAGCAACAGCAGCAGAAGTAGCAGTGAACACATATTTTACCTTTAAAAAGTGTATTATTTGAGATATTAAAACAAAACACACACACACAAATATGAAATTGCAGCGTAAAAGGGAGAGAGAAAAAGAGAGAACAAAAAGCACCGTTAAGGTTGGGGTGATTTATCAGACAGGTAGCCAGAGTATGAGTGTTGACCGTGTACACACTTTTTGGGGGAAGATTAAAAGAGAGAGAGAGAGAAGAGAGAGAGAAAAGAAATTATGATTGCTCTCCCTCTCTCTCTCTCTCTTTTCTCTGCTTTGATGTGCCCTCGTGATCTCCGCCAGATGAGCATGAAATCATCATCGTCATCAGTGCCACTGCTGACTCGTGAGTCTCTGACCATATGCCTGCTGCTGCTGCTGCTATCACACTACTGCTGACACACACACAGGGAGACACAAAAATGAGCAGTCAGCCGACGAGCAAACTGAACTGAACAGACACAGTGTTTTATCAGCCTGCCAGCCTGCTCGTGCCTGGTCACTGGTCTCAATTATGAGCCCAGTTTTGGAACTCGTGCTTTTCTTTCTCTTTTGCTCCCTCAGTTTTTCTAATCTTTAAACCCACTTTTACCTACAGAGAACTCAGTCAAAGGTAAAAGAAATTGTTACTGTTAGATCGAGCGGGGAGATACAACTGTGTGTGTGTGTGTGGCTACTGGCGCTAAGGGTTTACTTGCACTGGCACTGGTTCTGAAAAAGCATGAGAGAAAATCTGTTGCAAATGGATTCGGTCCCACGAGGCGTGTCCCTCAGGCACCCAGTGATGATGATGATGATGGTGGTGATAGTAATTGAGTTATATGCTCAAAGAAAAAAAGAGAATGAAAGTAAAACCAGTGACAGTAGGAGGAAAAAAGGAGGAGTAGAAAAGAAAGGTCAAACGATGCAAGCACAATCAGATAAACTGAAAGGTTGAAAAAATGGCCACAAAAAAATAAATAAGTTTTTTACAGTAGAGCAGTTTTGATGTTTTAATTGAACGAAAAATGTTTAACTTTTTGTTTGTGCAATCGCAGCTAAAACGCACTACGAATTTACAGTTTTTCATTTTTTGCTATTATTTACATTTCATTTTTTAATGACTAAAAAAATTAACCAACATTTCCGAAAAATTGGGCTGGGACACTAGCACTTTTTCGCTTTCCCATTTCACTAATGTCACGGCTAGTTGGCTTGGCTGTTGTTGATGTCCATTTACTGTTTTGACACAGGCGGACAAGCTCAATTAAGCACCGGTGAGCACACTGCTGACCACTGGTCAATTAAAGGCAATCTAGAGAGAAAAAGAGAACAACATGGGCAAGAGTGATTGGCCGAGTCAGTAATGTAATAAATGGCCGGATATGACCAGTGGACGGTTTTGGCTGTGTGCTGTGCTGTGCTCGGCAACTTTTCCGAGACTTGTTCGGTTCAGTTCCGTTACCTGCCTGTCTGCCAGTCAGTCAGTCAATCTACCTGAATTGCGGTTGTTGCTGTTGTTGTTGTTGCCTCCACTTTACTGCTGCTTCCAAATTGACGACACACGACGTAC